TTGTTGACTATGAGGGCCACTCCATTCCTTCTATGGGATTCTTGCCCACAATAGTAGATATGATAATCATCCAAGCTGAATTCGCCCATTCCTGTCCATTTTAGTTCACTGATGCCCAGGATGTCGAAGTTTATTCTTGCCATCTCCTGTTTGACTACACCCAGCTTCCCAAGGTTCATAGATCTTACATTCCAGGTTCCTATGCAGTATTTTTCTTTGCAGCATTGGACTTTCCTTTCACTTCCAGGCACGTCCACAGCTGAGCATCCTTTCGGCTTTGGCACAACCACTTCATTAGCTCTGGAGCTATTTGTACTTGTCCTCCACCCTTCCTCAGTAGCATTTTGGACGCCTTTCGACCTGAGGGGCCCATCTTCCAGTGTCAAATCTTTTAGCCTTTTGTTTCTAATCATGGGCGTTCTTGGCAAAGATACTGGAGTGGCATTGCCATTTCCTGCTCCAGGTGGATTGCGTTTAGTCGGAACTCTCCACTATGTCCTGTCCGTCTTGGGTGTCCCTGCACGGCATAGCCCATAGCTTCTCTGAGTTACTCAAGCCCCTTCGCCATGACAAGGCAGCAATCCATGAAGGGGACTCATGGATTGCTTCATTAACATACAGCCCCCCCCCAAAAGACCCTGTAATTCTGTTGAAGAGTAAGGTAATATGCTTGCTTCTCTCTTTGTTTCTGCTTCCTTCCTTCATCACCAGCCAGATTAAAGAAATAATTCTGCCTGAAGCGCTGGTAATTGTTTGAAAGTAGTCTGACATAGAGTACATTGCTTAATCCAACAAGCATTTATCACCATGACAAAGTCTGCCTTAATTAGGTTGCAGTTGATGCACTGGATTAAGCTGGGCAAAAGCTCTTCTAATTAGCCATCACCTGAGCACCTGAATTCAATGATGAGTCTAGAAGCACCTAAAAACTGAATCCCGTTCTTCAAAATGTGTACTACTCTGGATTGAATTCCTGTTTTAGAGTCTATATGTCTCGTGACCAGAATTCATTAGCCTTGTCTGGGTTGAGTCTCAATTTTCTAGCCCTCATTCACTTCATTACTCCAGAAAACAGTTCAGAACAACAACAACAACAACAACCCTCCGGAAATGGAGGAAAAGGACAATATGTTGCCTAGATATTGGTAATATACTACCCAAATTTCTAGACCTTTCCCAAAGGTTTCATGTAGATATTAATAAACAAGGAGACATGGTTGAACCCCATGGAATGCCCCAGCACAATAATCCTAAACAAATTCCTGAAGAAATAATATATTAATTGTAAAATTCAAATTCCCATGCCCATTCCTTTCAGGTGATCAAGAACAATAAAATGGTTTAGAGCAGTGGTCCCCAACCTTGGGCCTCCAGATGTTCTTGGACTTCAACTCCCAGAAATCCTAGCCAGCAGAAGTGGTGGTGAAGGCTTCTGGGAGTTGTAGTGCAAGAACATCTGGAGGCCCAAGGTTAGGGACCACTGGTTTAGAGCACCAAATTCCTCTGAGAGGACCAGCAGAACCAACAGGAATGGTTGTCTAGGCCCTGGCAGAGGCAGTCTATTTAGGAAACCAAACAGGTTTCATTCACAAATCCAGGCCTGCAGCCAAATTAAACTGGATGAAAAAAAATCTATTTCACTCAAGAGCCTCTGAACTAACAGCTGTCATGCACTTGAACAGCTCACTTAAGAAGGGCAGACTGGACACACATATCCAATATGGTCCAGTCCAGAAAGCCTTGTTTAGTAATATTTCACAATAGCCATCTTAAGGATGAATAACATATATATTCTTCCTCAAAAATGATCATTCATTCTACCCTTCTGACTATGCCTCTTCTGGTTACTACCAGTGATAGAACTCATACTAATAAAGGGAAGAACCACAAGATTGTACATTCCAGATAGATGTACTTATGAAACCTAGATCAACCACCTACCATATAGAGAGCAGTACACCTATAAATGATACTGATTTTATCTATCTATCTATCTATCTATCTATCTATCTATCTATCTATCTATCTATCTATCTATCTATCTATCATCAAGACAGTATGTAAAAGCTAGCAACAGTGAATATACAATACTGAAAGGATCAAATACATATCAAACTAAAAATGGTGAAGAAAAGCAGCAATTTAAAGCAGTAAAGTACAAAGCACACACCAAACTATAAACTACAACAATCCATTAAAAAAAAACCCACTCAGGCAGGCAGTCACTAAGAGAAAACGTGGCTGAAGAGAAAGGTCTTCATCTGCTTGCAGAAGGACAGCAAAGACGGGGCAAGCCTGGCCTACTGTGGGAAGCTAGTTCCAAAGTCTGGGAGCAGCAACAGAGAAGGTCCTCTCCCGTGTCCCCCCCAAATGCACTTGTGAAGGTGATGGGATCAAGAGAAAGACCTCTCCTTAAGATCTTAATAGCTGTGCAGACTCATAAAGGGAGAGGTAGTACATGAAATAGCTTGGACCCAAGTCGTTTAGAGCTTCATAGGTTAGAATCAGCACTCTGAACTGTCTCTAGAAACAGTTCAGCAGCTAGTGGAGCTGCTGTAACTTGGGGTGGGAGGTTATGTACTCCCTGTGACCAGCCCAAGTTAGCAATCTGGCTGCTGTGTTTTGTACATGCTGAAGTTTCTGGACACTTTCCAGAGGTAGCCCCATGTAGAGAATGTCACACTAATCAATCCTGGATGTGACTAAGGCATGTATCACTGTGGCCAGATCAGATCTTTCCAGGAATGGTGTAGCTGGGACACTAGTATATATTAATTGTGCAAATACACTTGTGATCCACCATCAAAACTTGGACATCCAGGCTCAGAGATGAACCCAGGAGAACTCTCAAACTGCAGACCTCTGTTTTCAGAGACAGTGAAACTCCATCCAGCACAGGGTGCAACACTGTTCCTTGGTCTGCCTTTTGATTGACCATGAGCACCTCTGTCTTGTCTTGATTAAGTTTCAGATTATTCACCCTCATCCAGTCCATTATTGACATCAGACACTGATCTAGAGCTGAATCAGCTCATCGTGCACATCATGAGCAGATGAACAGAAAATGAATCAGCTTTCACCACTGCTCTGCTTCATTTTCCATGTGACAGGAAGTGAAACAGTTTCTTTACTCTGAATATACAATCAGAGCCAATGTAATTCTATTAAATGCAAGCAGTGAAAAATAGAAATTTTATTTCTTAATCATCTTTTTCGCATCTACATGCTTACCCTTTCCAGGAGGGATAGTGTGGCTTTTAAAGCACCTTCTGGTCGTCCAAATGGGAAGCAATACCTGGGGTAAACACATATTTTAAAAATTTTATTTTTTTATATAACCATAAAAGATTTTTCACACATGCAGCTATATTAACAGACTTTACACTGATTGGATTTTCCTAAATACTCTGAGTGGTAGACTCTTTTCTTCTAAATTATTTTATTTAAGCTTCTACTTTGGATAACCATTAGCAGGATCTGAACCTTTTTAAGTGAGCGCCTCTTAAGAAATCTGGAAATGCACACCACAGATCCTTTTTCCTATCCCCAAAAGATATAGGAAAGGATTGGAAAAGATGAAAGGAAAAGGTGTTCCTTTATTATGTTGCTGTTCATAATACAGATTGGTAAAGAGAACTAACAAGGTGAGAAATGAGCCAATTATTTGATAACGTAGCCAGAAAGTAGTATTTCAAATCTTTGGCACCATTCAGATCTGATACAACTGTGCTTCTTAGATCCAAAAGGAAGGGGTACATGCAAGAGTTGAAGTTGTGTGTGGAAGGTGATGGGTCTGAAAAGGATAACGACTGTTATATTTTATGTGGAAGGACTCCATTTAACCTGCAACTGTTGGAAATTAGGATTCCAGTTCAGAGGAAGAGACTCTAGAGAGAGTGACTCTCCATGTCAGACTGTTGTGTTCTCCGTATGTGACAGTGGTAGAACTGGACATGTTCTCAAGTAAACATGTTTGACTCACACATGGATTGGGCTTCTGTTGTTGCCTCTGTGTGGTCCAGCATGAAGTAAAAATCGCTAATTTGGTTCTGAAAGAAGCAGTTTCACTTTAAATAAATCAAAACTGGCTCCCCATTTTCTGGCGGCTTTTTATTAATCGATTATACCAAAAAACAACCAGAAGGATGGTGCTTTTTAAAACACACTGAGAAGTTTTACAATCACATTATTCTGCAGTTAAGGGCAATGCAGATTTTAATGGCAATAATAAAGAAGCTCTGTTTAAGCCTTCTTCTTGACAACTTCTGTCATAGCTAATGTCATCTCTGTGAGCTTACATGTTACACTGAAATAATTTCAAAAGATTCTTTCTTTTATGCAAGTAATTATCACAGGAACTTCTGAAATTCAGCAAGTCAGCTCTACATTTGGAAGAAGAAAGAGTAGTCATTACCTAAAATGTGTGATCTGGTTTTCCAATAACAATCGCAGTCTCTCTTTGATTTCTTCAAACCGTTCTTTTTCCTCTATGGTTACAGTTCCTATTCCATCAGGCCTGAAGGAGAAAAGCTATGAATAACTCATATGGTACCTCGTGCTGCTTGCAAATTATCAGCAATGTAGACTAATGGGCGCTTTTATTTCTGTTATAACTGTTCAATTACAAATGATGTATAATTGTTGTTACCAGTGCCATTATATTCATAATTAAAACCATCATACAAATAAATAGTGATATTTGCATTCTTGTTTCCGAAAATTCTGATCATCTGAAATCTGACCAATGATGAGTGAGGCTGTGTTGCACATATTAAGCTCTCAATGAGCCAGGACTACTACTCCTCTTCAGTTTCCCACATACTGGATAACTCTGTCTGAAAGGCATTATTGCATAGTATTCATTGCAATATAAACTCCATGTAAGTTAAATAATAAAATATTTATGAGCAGTCAGTTAAAACCATGACCAATTAAAAGCAGTATGGATTAAAATGAGGTTGTTGTAGGTTTTTCGGGCTGTTTGGCCATGTTCTGGAGGTTTTTCTTCCTAATGTTTCCCCAGTCTCTGTGTCTGGCAGTTAGAACTCTGTCTAGGCATGAGTTTATGGAAACAATGCTAGTATAGATACTGTGCTCCCCAAATCACCAGAACATTTACTGTGAACTGGACTCAGGAAAAAAATGGGTGCCAATGAAAATAGTACAGTGATATTAAAGTGGGAAATAGCAAAGCATCAGAATTTGCATGTGGAGCAGTGAGAGGATTTTAAATGATGACTTTTCCTATTTGGAAATACCTGTGACAGTTGGAACTAGCAAAGTAATCACATTTATTTATTGCTACAAGTAGAATGTAGGATTTTAAAATAGCATTTCCTATTAATGCTGAGCTCATTAAGTACTTTAACAAAGTAGTGCATGATCATTGTGTAAGCCCCATTCACCTATAGACTAGTTAACATGGCTCAAATGATACAGAGATTGGGCTGAGAGAACTACATACCAGAGGACTGAAGGTACTGATGGATATCATTTGCCCCCATATTTTCTATGCTTTTCTGACATCTAATGTATTAATAAAGAGGAAATAAGGGCCTAGACTGAATAAAGCCTGAACTCTCTCTAGAGGCAAAAATGATAGAACTGAGGCTGTTGTACTTTGGGGCACATAATGAGAAGACTCACTGGAGAAGACAATAAAGACTGGAAAAGTTGAAGGCAGAAAGAAAGAGCAAATAAGAGGTGGATTGTCTTCATAAAGGAAGCAATAGGCTTGAATCTGCAAGACCTAAGCAGTTTTTTTGGAGGTCACTCATTCATAGCGTTGACATACGTTGGAGGCAAGTTGAAGGCTCATAACAATGACAATACCATATTAACATATAATAAGGATGTCAGTGAAAAACAGGAGACATGTATCTGGAAAAATGATCCCCTGACATCATCTGATGATAAAGATCAATGATAATGGTTTTAATTATTTAGAAGACACTGACTTCACTGTAGTAAATTACAATGAGAGTGTTGCAGCGATTCTAAGCAGTTGCTTTTGTGTGTATAAATTAATTCTGAATACGGTACTGAGGCTCTTTTTCATAGGGACGGCACACACAAAGAGAATTCTACCCCCCTCACCATACCTGTTGATATGGTATAAAAATGTGGTAGTACCAACTGTGTTAGATGCTTTTACATATTTGCTCATTTTTTGATTTATGCTGAATATGATGGTAGGAAAGGAAATCTGACCCCTCCAACTCTGTCTCATATATTTTGTGATTAAATTATTAATCTATTAAATTATACCTGAAGGAGAGACCAAAATACTCAATAGCTGCACTTTATTACCGACAATAAGTATGCTGATTTGCATAGTACTTCACAGTTTGTAACTCAAAGTCTCTCTCTCTGTTGAAGTCTTAAATTTAACAAATATTCTTCCTTAAAGGCTTCCTCTAGTGTTTGGATTAAGCTTTGTAAATCCTCACTACTAGACTAGTTTGGCTACACAAAAGACTTGGCAAAGGATTACAAAGCTTCTAATGAACCTCCTGTCAGGGGTTAATTGGTAAGCTTTATTTTCCTTTCAAAGAATCAAAATGCTCCTAAGATTTTTTTTAAAAAAATTACGATCTGTATGTTCAACATTTCACTGACCTGAAGATGTAGGAACTTCAATATATATATATATAAAACACACATCTCTCTCTCAGAGTACGAGGATTTGCATGCATTTAAATGTGACTTCTAGCCCATATTTTTATATATCACAAGATATTGCAACCTTCTACTTTGTGAGTTCATTTAAATTCATCAATGAAAAGAAATATCCAAATATCCAAGGATTGTAATGTCTTCAATTTGCTGAGCTTCAACTGTTCTAATATAATATTGGTATTTAAATTTGGAATATATTTTTACACATTAATCGCAAATGCATATGAATACTGAATTTGGTAGCAAATCTGAAAATGCTTAAAATACTGCATTTTGTAGATTATTTTGATTAAAAGTAATGACATATAGTGTACAGAAAAAGCTCTTTAATTTTAAACATTTAACAACTGAAAGAGATTATCTGAAATCTTCCATTGCAGACAAATTTTCATTTGTGTGATTTTCTTTTCGGCCAAGTGAGGTGAAGTATTTAGTATTTTTCCTCTCGAAAGACCAGAGAGATGGATGGATACTACTCTCAAACAGATACACAGAGGCAGAACCTTACTGAATCAATAAGCAATATCAAAATAAGTCAATAAGATCCACAACTGATTTGCAAATCCACTGTTTATTTTACAGAATTTCTTTTTTAATGACAAGTAATCTTCAGGGCTAATTTGCTAAAGATATAGGCTGAATTCATTTTCCTATAGACAACAATGTGTTGAAAGAAAAATGCCACCAAGCACATATTATGTCATTGATGTGATAACTGCAGTTATCACTTGGGAACTTGGATGTGTGAATCCGTTATCACTAGCAATTGCATGATCAGCTATCACAGATCATTCCCTTTAAACATGTCAAACAATTGCCCAGTGAAGCAGAGTCTGACATAGAATGTGATAAGGCTATCAGGAAGTTGCCTATCTTCTGCTGTCCAATTTTTATTCAACTTCTATGCATGAATTTTCCTTGATTATAACTACAGTGGTGATTCGCTTAGCGATTGCTTCGTTTAATGATGAAATTGCTTAGCGACGACTTTTTCGGAGCATTTTTACACCTCATTTAACTATGGTCCCTATGGGTGATTTTCGCTTAGCGATGGTTGGGACCATGCTTCGCATAGCGATTAAATTTTGGGTCCCCTGTTTTGCTTAATGATGGTTTAAACAGCCTCATGTTTGCTGTTTTTTAAATGTTTTTTCTGTTATTTATAAAGTTGAAGTTTATTGTTTGAAATGTTTGAAATCATAAAGAGCACTTAGTAAACCCTTTGTTAAACAAATTTGACTTTGTTCTGACTCTCTTTTAATTTGTTGTTGTATTTTTTCCCCATTGAGATGCATTGAATAGGTTTCAATGCATTTCAATTGGGGAACTTCGTCTTGCTTAGCGATGTTTCCTATGGCGATTTTCGCTTAAGGATGGCAATTTGTTCCTATTGGAATGGATTATCCGGTTTTCAATGCATTTCAATGGGAAACCGTGTTTCGCTTAGCAATGAAATCATTTAGCAGCGATTTTTTGGAACTAATTAACATCGTTAAGCAAGGCACCACTGTACTTACGAAGTCTTTGAGAGAAAATACCTTGACATGAGTCTAAATGCTGAAGAAATTAAAATGTAACTCAAGAATTTGCTCTTTAACTTAACTCCTCTCTTCGTTCAAGAAATAAATTTTAAAACCATGGCAAATTCTACATGCTTACTACAGAAAAAAGTACTTATTCCAAAGAAAACAGAATGGTAACCATTGCCTACAGATGGAAATGACTGTCACTTTGATGTTGAACACATTGGCGGACAACTTACTTTTAATTGCTCTGAGGCTGAAAGTACCAAACTGGTATTTTTTTCTGCTTTCTGTACTCTACAAAAAAACCTCCCAAACGGTTTTAAATGCCAGAGAGTAGAAGCAGATGCTTTTGCCCATCTTTATTCTGAAGTAACTATTTTGTTTCCACCTACTTTTTTGCTGATTTCAATAGGAACAGGAATTATATTATTTCCAGAAAGAAATAATCTTAAAGTAAAAAAAGGATACTTTTTGGGTTGGATTTATTACATAAACCCAGAGCATGGGATACAAGATTTTCTAAAATTTTGAAATCATGCAGACAAAAAACAAAATTAAATGAAAAACTATACTCCATTTTCCTCACCCCCCTCCAATTTTGAAGAAACTTGAAAATTTCACAGTACTTATTTTTAAAGGACTCTCACAGTCCTAACAAAGTTTGCTTATAAAATTACAAAGTTTAGGGCTTGGGCATTTAAAAGTATAGTTTATTCAGACAATAATTACAAATTTACTGATTTATTTTAAACATTTCCCTTTTTTAAAATTTCAAATGAAGCTACAACTTGCTGGCCTCTAAGAAATCTAGCGACTCTTAATTTTCAGTAGCTTTTGAGAAGCAGGCTAATGCTTAAACTAAACTGAAATCTATAACAGCCTTCAAAATTTCATTCTGCATTGAAAAATAAAATAACTTATGATTTAAAATATTTGCCTTTTTGCAGTGGGAAGAGGAATATGAAAAAGCCTATGGAGAAACAGAATTCCTCCATATTTCCTTTTGCTTCACTTAGTAAGCCTTATACAGTATACCTCATACACCTTATACATAGGATCAGGAACAACCTCCACTGAACTTAGGAAAGGCTATTTTTAAGTTTATATAAAAGGATCATGGTGTATGATGCTGGGAGTGGGCAAATGGCCATCTCCAACTCTCTCTCTCTCTCTCTCTCTCTCTCTCTCTGTGTGTGTGTGTGTGTGTGTGTGTGTGTGTGTGTGTGAGAGAGAGAGAGAGAGAGAGAGAGAGAGAGAGAGAAGAGAAGAATGGATTATATTCCCCAAAGCTTCTGGAGATCTTTTGCTCACT